AGATATTGTTAATTTTAAAAGATATAATTCCGTTGAAATACACTTAAAGTCAACGGGAAAAACTTTTTTTTTGGCATGACTAATAAACGCTTTATTATTATGGAACATTTTAGGGATTGTCCCGTCCCATTTACACCATGTTTTATGTCTAGTAGCGATGATAGTTCCTTTACTATGACTTCTTTCTAGTACAAAAAAAATTAAAAGAAATTTCTGCATATCATTTTATTAGTATTAAGAATGAGAATTGGTTGTGAAAATGAAACGGGAGAGCAAGGAGAAGAAACAGAATAGGGAGAGGAAATAGAAGAAAAGTATTTATTAAAGATATAAGGGTCATTGGATAAACGGGTAGTTCCCAAATGAAAAGGCGCAAATATTTCGAAATTTTAAACAATTCTCAACGATTGATATAACAATAAATTTTTACACACAGTTAAAAAAATCTAAAATTTATTATTAATTTTGTAAGGATAATTAAGGATAATAATTTAAGGATATCGTGCTCTATAAATAATATTAATACATATGGATATAATTACAATTTTTTTTTTTTTTTAATAATAAGGATTTTTTTCCCTTCCTTCTAAAAATACGAGGTTTGGCTTTGATGAGTTTGAAGATGCAGTCTCAAAAATACTTTTGTCTTTTAATCCACCGAAACTTTCTTCATCCGTACCAATTAAAGTACTACGACCGGAAGCTATTTCCTCCTTTTGATCTCTGAATTTATGTAAAGCATTATATACTCTTCCAATAATATTAATTGTTAAGTTTAGACATGATGACAAAAGTGTTAATAAAGGTATAATATTATAATGAACTACATCAAAGTTATAAATAATCTATTAGAAATAAAAAAAAAAAAAAAAGGTATAGGTTAAGTTTTGATATTTGATGTGACATTATCAATTAAAAATCATTTAAAATACAAACTGACATACCTGAACGACTACTTGAGGGATATCTTCAATAAAAATATTAAGGCAAGCTCCCCAAAATATTATATTTGATGCCGAATTAGAAAACTTTGCGTTAAAAATTTCGTAACCCGCAAATTTTGATTCAAGTACATTTAAAATTTCGATATCGGCTCCCGCTAATAATGTGAAGATTGCTACAACTTTTGTGTTATTTTTTGACCATTTGGAAAATTCTTCGGTAAGATTTTCTCGTGTTATAATTGTAAATGCCAATCCTAAACTTGTAATAAATGGAACTATCACAATTACAATACTTAAAAGGAAAAAATATAATGTGAATAATTTTTTTTTTTTTTAAAAAAAAAAAACTAATAAAAAAAGAATTTATTGAAGTTAGGAATTTACCTTGGAATGAATAGTCTATCAACGGCACGAGCGTTTGTACTAACAAAAAGAATATCCATAAGAAAATCAAACATGATAATACCAAATTGTAAAATTACAATGCTCCTCCCCTAATGAAAATATTAAATTATTAGAAAATTATGATATCAATAGTTTTAAAAATTACTGTCATGAAATTTTACCTCATTATTTTTGCGTTTAGCCCACATGTAAACTATAACAAATACACACATGGCCGCAAATACTGCAAAAAAATATAGACCATAATCCATAAAAAAGTTGGCTATTTTACAAAAATTCAAAATGTTAATTAAAATGATACGCATAAAATATTAAAGGAACGAAAGTGAAAGGATGAATCCTTACAAGAGGTTTTGTATCCAAATTCTTGATCTAAATACTTTGTATATTTGCCAGATGTAATCAAAGTGATATATTTATTCTTAATCAAAGTATCTAAATCATTTTTGGCCGAATTAACGGTTATTGCTTGCTTATTTTTTTCTCTTTCAATATTAATAGATAAAATGATTTGTTTCGGGGAGACTGTGGTGTCGGTTTCAACTCTACCATTGGTAGTTATACGATCAGGGCTAATGGGAATCGCATATGCTATTTCTTGCCTTAACTTCTTGTAAAAATCATCGCGATCCGCATTATCAAGTTTATCAAAATAATTAGTCCCATCTGTGGTTAATCGAACCATTCCTGTAGCTTTAACTGAATTCTTTTCTTCGTTCGGTACTAATTAGAAATTGTGTGATGTGAGTATTTGATTTCATAAAATGATGAGGAATTTATAAAGCGCTTACATGTTGTAAATGACCAAACGCGATCATGTATACCATATAGAGGTTCTTGGTATGTTCGACTCTTTACAAAGTTATTATCAATTGTAACAAAATATTTTCCCGTAGGATGATTGAATGTGCTTTTAATTATTTTGACATAAACTGTAATTCCATCTGCATCCAGGCTTACACGTTCGTTGAATCCAGATGTGAATTGACGTATAATTTCACGACCAGAATCATCGATTTGAAAAATAGTAATGTTTCCAGTTGATAAATCTATTTGATCAAAATATTTGATTGTAAGTGAATCCTTCTCAACTGAGATCGTTTCATTAATCGCCGGTGACGTGGTGTTTATATGGAAATTGGTATATCCATGATCTAAGAATATTTAAAGTTCGCTTAAATAAAAAAAATAGGTACTTTCACGTTCGTGTACTGCGTTACGTTACCTTTTTCCCCAGCAAATTTATACAAATCGGTCGTGATCAAAGTCCAACTTTGGTCTTGCTCCTTTTGAGCAAGCACAAGAGTATTATTTGGTAAAACTTTAGAAGAACCAAATACGTTTGTAATGGTAGGATTTTGAAGGTTCCAGGAATAAACTTCACCATCGTTATTAATTATATAACCATACATAATTGCATCATTGTCTTCATTTTTTTTTAATCCAGTTAATAAAAAACCCCCGTATCGTAAAGATCTAACATAATATTCATCAATTCCTGGAATCGTTGGAATGGATCCATTTAATGATTTACCATTATATGAGGTTCCTGATGTAAGAAACTCAACTTTAACATAAGACGTCGTATTGAGATTATTTTTTACGGTCAACACACAAGTTTGTCCCATTCCCAAGTAGGCAATATCGCAATCAAGCGATATAAACATTAATCCGGGAATTTGAGTTTGAAAGAGAATAGCTGGTTTTCGATTAGTCGGTTGACCATATGTTAGGAATAGGGCATAAATCGCTCCCTGAGGAAGAAAAGGATCCTCCTGATAGATATCCGTTGAATTGGCAAAAACAACCGCGTATCCTCCGTCAATGGTCGCGATGGCTTTAACTTGATGCATCATGTTATCAAAACTTATGTCATCTTCTGCAAGCTTTTGAATTTCCTTATTTTCAGTTCTTCATTTTATTTTTTTTTTAAAAAAAAAAAAAAAAAAAGGAGAAAGGTCATGAATTAATCATAAGTTGAGCCTTTTAAGATTTATATGATAAATGATAAATTACATTATGAATTGCTGACAGATAATATTAGAGGTATTTGTCGCGGTTCCTACACGGAGGAAACCCTTATTATGATCAACATTTATGGTAATTGAAGCTTGATTTGGCCACCATGAGTTTGTAGCAGGGTCAACAAAAGCAGGTCCCAGTAAAGCTTTACTATAAAATTTTAAAATGAAATGGTAATTATGTATTTTTTCTTTTAAAAAAGATAAAGGTTTACATATTCGTTTAATGTAAATGCTAACCCATAAATGGTTCGATCTAAACCAACAAGCATCACCCATTCATTATAAGTAAAAACATTATGTAGATCTTCAGCTTCCGTGTAAGTTATCAACAAGAGTTTACTTGTAACAGGATAAATTTTAATAGGAGTCTTCGCGACTCCGTTTATTTGCCAGTAACAAAAGTTAAAATCTTGTATATCCAACGTCATGTCAATTTCCGTAACTTGTCCATCAGATGAAATCGTACGAAGTGACAAGTATTTATCTACGCAAATCTTTCCTTCAGATGAAGCTGATGAATTTCTACGAATTATACGAAGAATTAACGAGCCATCATCAAGTTTATCAATCGTAGTTACGCGAGGTGGATTACCATTTCCAGTTGGTGTCTCATGATATGTTATAACATTAGATTGTGAATTTATGGGAAGTGATGTAAAGAAGATGATTGATAAAAATGTTAAAAGAAATATATGATTTAAATTCATCTCGAAAGTGTGATAATGGGTTATTGGATTTATTTAACAATTCATGAATGATTATCTCTGAAAAAAAAAAAAGTAAAGAAGAAGAAAAAAAAAATGTCAATGAAATTTTATTCCTCAAAAAAGATAGGACAACCATTTCGTAGCATTTTTATATAAATATTTTTCATTAGCCCGATATGTACATGCGGATAGTATATTGTATAATGAAGGTTGGGTCATGTGTTACATCTCAAAAGAATCTTTTCGGTAAAATTTAATGAAAAAAAAATTTAAAGGATAGATTAACGCTAACTTGTTTTTTACAAAGATTGATTTTCTCCGCACAGCAATTCCCAAATTAGCCAAAGATCTCGGTAACTTTGAATTAAACTTCTTTACGAACGGATTTCCGTTTTAAGTAATAATTTGCGTTTAACTGTAATTTACGGAACCTATAGCATCAGTACGTGACAGATGAGCCATTCCAAAAGTAATAAATAACTGTTCATGAAATATTCTTCTTTTTATAACTCCGAAATTATCTCTAGCTTTTTTTTGATTGTTTATGGCATGAAAATTTAGCAACATTGTTGTCTTTGTTGTGTAACGTAACTGAGATAATTATACATAAAAAAAAATAACAATGAGTCATGCTAATATCAAATTTATCAAATTTCACAAGGGCCTTTTGAGCAACTCCATTCAATCCATATCCATTCTAGATTTATCATCCGGGTACAAAAGGTTTATGTTATGATAATAAACCTACCTGAAAAGTTAAGTCATTCCCCAAACGAATTATTCCCAACACTTTCGTATCATTTGCGTTTAGGTAGGTAAAATACTTCCTTTCGTGAAAAATTGATCGCCATCTTTTTCAATCTTTTTTTTTTGCCCACCATAAATTTGACAATTAGTTCCCAATTTGACGACTTTGATCATCACCGGACAATTGGTTCCTTGGCAATGACAGTGTAACGTTGATCTCCAATCTCTTCATAACCATAACCATAATAAACCACTCCTATAAGGTTTATATATTTTTTGTCGACGTATTTTTAGAATTGTCTGCTATTTTTAGAACAAAGAAAATGCTTTCATGACGGAAAAAATCATTATAAATAGCTGCGGATATATTTTATTTAATTCTTGTGGATTCTAAAATAAAAATAATAAATAAATTAAACATGTTTGAATACCCGTTGGTAACGTTGGTAAATTCGTGAGATTATTTGGGGTTGGCCTTGTATAAAATAATCTAGGCATGTTGACATAATACACATAAATAATTAAAAACACTCTCACATGGCAATGATAAACTTGTACCGCTCTGTTTAGTCTTGTCAGAATTTAAGATAATAGTTTTGGGGTTGAGGTTCTTACAAGTTTATGTTACACAAATTTAACTGCGGAACCTAAAATTCCCTTACTTGAGGCAATGTTTTAAGGATTTTGTAATCCACCTTAATTCGGGTAAATCGAATGTTTAAGTGAGAAAAAATTCAAAATTTTTTTTCCAAAACTTTTGATTTCTTAATATGGGTAAATCAACAAAATAATATGTTTAGTGAGGGAAAATTTGTTTTGAATTCAAATAGGAATTTCAAAGGAATTTACTAGACAAAATCCAATTTTAAACAAGTGAACAAATGAGCGCCCACACGAACCTAATTTGTAACATCGTCCCTGGTTTTTTACATTGTTTCTTTTCTTTCTTTTCCTTATAAATAATTGAATTTATCAAACGATAACAAGGGTTTACCCAAATACGGAGCGTATAAATCTAATTTAGCGCATGGTTACCAATTTATTTATGACTGTTTATTCTTTTTTTTTTTCATAAATAAACCAACCATGTACAGTACAACGATGAAGTGCCTTTACTGGCACATTTTGTGTTTGTTATTGTAGCTACTTGAATATAATTATATATATAATAAACTTGAAAGCAATTTTTCAGCTGACCCTTCTCTCCCTTCCTTTTTTTTTTTTTTTTTTTTTACTTCTTTTTTTTTTTTTTTCACACGCGCTTTCTTTTTTTTTTTTTTTATAAAATGTTTTCACATTTTTTAATAAATTTTTAATA